TTTTTTGTTTTTATTTTGTCTGTTTCATCCAGAAAAAAAAAGTCACATAATTTTTTCAGATTTCAATTGGCTGAATTTAAATGAAATGTGACAATTGTCCAGAAACAAAATAAATATTAATTGTAAGGACGAAAAAAAATATATCCATCATATTTCTATTAAAGTTTGCGTGAAAACTACAGAAATTATGTCAACATGTTGCCAATGTTTACGTAGGTAATTTTTAAAATGCATTGAGATGAATGGTGGGATTAAAATATTTGTAATCTCTTAATTTCATTTGATGAAGAAAAAAAAATGAGTTTCTTTTATTAGGCAACTGGCCAAGTTTTTGAAAGAATGAAATTTCTTATCAATTAGGATATTTTCTCTTTAAAAAAATTCGGTTAAAACAATTTCAGGGAAGAACAAACTTAAAAAGTTACAAAAAAAATCATTTGAAAGAAATTTACAATGGCAACCTTGATTGTAAATTATTATTATTATTAAATTATTTTTATTGCTAAATATATTTATTATTATTATTATTATTATGTATTATTGTTGTTGTTGTTAAAAGGCTAGAGTATACAACAGCCAAAACATTATGAATATGACAATAAAGATGAGGACAAGAGTCCGAACAATGTAAATAGTGCAAATAATTATTATTGTTAAATTATTATAGTTATTCTTGTTAAATTTTTATAATCATTGTTGTTGAAATTTGTATGGTGATGATTTAAGACACAGGAAGTAATTGTTAGTGACTCTCTGAAGTCTCAAGACCTCGGACAGCAAGCATTTTCCGCAGGATATTTGTTGTACCTAAGATACTCTTTTTTTGCATTGTTGTTATGCTAGGTGTGATTCCAATGGTATCAAGGCATTTTTGGAGATTCTTTGCAATCAACCCAAGAGCACTAATAACAATTAGCACAGCCTTGACATCTACATTCCACATTCTTAGGCAAATGAATGACCAAGTGGAAAAAAATCTGTGTAACATGTTTCATCCTCTACAAGGACTTCATCAGTTTAAAGTATGAAAATGCTTTACAGAGAATGTTTTTCACTTTGTCACTCATTTGCCTAACATTGTTATGATAAATACAAATTTATATCTACAAATATATGTCATTCGCAAACAGTACTGTTTTGCTGTATCACAACTCCTCAGTGCAACTAGACATCCAAATGCCTCAAGCCATGATCGAAACCTAACCAATTTGGTGTCAGTCAGAGTTTCTACCACTGAGCTATCTTCATTCAGCAGAGAGAAACGGCTAAATCTAAGGTATTGTTTTTACAAATGTAAACAAACGCCAATCAGCCAGAGTTCTCCAATTCATTTTACTGAAGAGCTTTACATTAACACAGGTGGCTGTTGTTTATAGAATTAGCCTATCTCTCAACAGTGTTCAATTGAAAAATATATTTTCAAGAGCTAATTTTATTTATTTATATATATATATATATATATATATATATATATATATATATCATCTTCTCCCATTTCACATTCTCTTAATGCTGAGTAGTTAACACTCTTTAACTTTTATTATTATTTGATAATTACAAAAATGGTTATCAAGGGGTTTTCTTTAAAAAGACATACTTGGAGCAATATTTCTTCTATTTTATACACATGTTTGAAAGATTTCAAATTGTTATGAAAGCGATTTTTGAAGGAAAAAGTTTGGTTCGACTGGATAATTATAAAATGCTGAATGAGGCAAGTGTAGTGAAAATGTTAAGTACTAGTTTACCAATTGAATTTTACTACATAATGTTAAATGGATGCTTTATTTACAGGAAAAACAAAATGAAACTCGGGGAGATGAATTATCTGAAGTATGGAATCTTGAGCAGGAAAATAAACATGCCGATGGCTTGGATAATGCTAATTTATTAGATAAGAATACTGACAGACAAATTTCAAGGCAGAAAATACCAGAAGAGAATGAAGAAAATGGTATCTGTCAGCCCAATGAACTTGAAAATGAGGCTGTAGAGAAAATTACTCAGGTTCAACCATTGAATGCACATCAATCTGACAATGAACCTGAAGAGATCTTAACAGAATCTGTAAATAAATCTATAGAAGAATCTGTTCAGTCTGTAGATTCTACAGTCTTAGACAGCAGCCTTCAAGAAGAGAAGGCAGAAATTATAGAAACCGAACCAGCAGAAGTGAGTTCTAAGACTGAGGACAGCTGGAAGGAGATTGAGTCGGCCATCATTTGTGAGACAATTGCCGAACTTGAGGCTGAACGAGACAACGAGAATATGGACAGCGCCAAGTTGAAAGAAGCATCGCTAGATTTACTCAACTATCCAGATAATAATTCTCTGCTTGCTGACGACGTCGACGACGAGAATATGGAGCTGTTGCAACAGCAGAGTGAATGCCTGGAGAGTATAAAACAAATTCTGAGTGAGCAAGGAATCTTGAGTCATGTGGAACTGATGCTTAAAGAGATGGAGGAGATCAAAGAAGAAAATGCAATGCTCCGAGATAAACTGGTTGGAAACAGTTACACGCTGTCTAGTGGCGAAATCATCAATGCCGAATTTGCAATGGAACGCCTGCACCAGTTGGAAGAGGTCTGTGAGAATCTTCGCAATAAAGTCCATTCCACAGAACAATCGGAGATCTTGCTGAAAACAAAGTTAAAACATGCTGAGGATACAGTCAGTGAATTGGAGGCTAGTGAAAGTCTCTTGAAAGACCAACTTAAGAAAATCTCCGTCAGGGAAGCAGAATGGAAGAAGAAGGCTCAGGGCTTGCTTAGAAGTGTCAGTGAACTTGAACAGCTTCTCAAAGAAAAAGACGCCATTGAGGAAAAGTTAAACGAGAAGGTATCATCGCCTGCCAAAAATGCATGTTGCATGAAGCACAAACTCTCTTTTCTTAATTTTTGTATGTCTTTTTTAATTTCTGATTCCATATTTTGCTTATTTCACACGCAATTAATGCATTTTTGTTCAAGTTTATAGTGCACAAGGATTTCGTTTTTGTGTTGTTTATTCTGAAGTATGTTTTAGGTTTGAAAAATGTTTCATGAGAAGGATCAGTATGTTATAGGTATTTGAAAAATCTTTGTTTTTTTTTTCTTTCTTTTAATTAGATTTTTAAAAGGTTTTTGAGGAAATTTTTTTTTTTTTTTTTTTTTTAGAGCACACCAGTTAAATAAAATAATTTTCAACATTTTTTGAATATCTTTGTAAAAATATGTCTGATATATTTTTACAGATACTTTAATTTAAATTTTTTTTTTTTTTCTTTGCAAAGAAATTTTGATGCAATGCTGCTCAGTTTTAGGAATCAAATAAGGTTTTTCAAGATGAAGTTCTTCTTTCATTCAGTGTATTCGAGAATAACACTAAAATATTTTAATTTAGAAACCATTTGTTTTCAACTATAAACTTTATTTTTTTTCAAATATGAGGGTTGGCTAAAATGTTCATAGGCTGACTAAGATATAAATGTAAGTTGATACACCAGTTGGTAGAAGAAAAGACATGCAAGTGTACCAGAATAAAACAGAAAAGAATGAAGAAGTTGACATCTAAGTAAATTTGAAAAAGAGGCCATGAAGAAAGTTACTAAAGTTCAATCATTGAATGCATATGACCTTGAAGAAACCTTGATGAAATCATTAAATAAATCTATTGAAGAATTTATTTTTATGTGTCTACTTACATTTATTTTCTGATCAGCCTATGAATTTTTCAACCGACCCTTGTATTATGTTGGTATATGGCATTATCATGTTGAAATACCAATTACTGTATGGTCACTGAAGTTAAGCAACATTGAGTCTAGTCAGTAGGTGACTGCTTTGGAATACCAGGTACTGTAAGCTTGGATGTGAAGGTGGTGTAATGGATAACAGCTCAGCAATGTTGATCAAGTGAGCTGAGTTCCAATTCCAGTTGGGTTTGTTATATTCATTTACACTTTTATCACTAAAACCATTATTATCTGGAAAAAAAAATGCTTAGAAAATATTTAGGTTTCAGCATTAAATAACCCATGGTTGTTGATATGCAGCTAAAGAAAACAACCAACTAATCATATAATGCCCTGGAGGTGGGGTATTATTATTTTTCTAAATGCAAACCAGTGTTTCCAGTTTTATTTTATACTATAAAAAAGAAATTATCAATAGAATTATAGTGCATAAATTTCCTCTATCTTCAAATTTTAATAATTCTTCACTTTAAAACACTAAGCATGCAATGCTTTCTTTCTTTCTTTCTTATTCTTTTTCTTCTTTACTCCAGCAACCCTTCAATTTGTCCTTTTTTGTCTTTCATTTAATAACATTCTCTATTTTCCAACCCTTGTTTTTATACTTGTCATGTTTGTGGTCATTTCTTATACATAACCATTGTACCACTACCTTTTTCCACTTCTCCATATTGCCATAGATGTTTCCACCTTTAATTATCCTACTAAATTGATGTTGTCTCCTTCTAAAACCTTTTCTTTTTTCCCCATTATCTCCACCTTTCATAACTTGTTATCTCATTTTCCAAAAGCCAATTATAAAATGTAAGATGCAATCATTAATTAGTCTTTTATTTAAATTTGGACTAATTCTTTGTTGTTATTATCATCCCAGCGTTTCATTCATCTTACTCTCCACCTTTCTTCAGGTGTTTATCAATCCAGGCAACACCTTCATGGAACTTCAAACTGAACCCTTTTACTTAATCCAAAGGGGTAAATGTTTCTCATCCTATTGTCCATGTGTAGGGATATCTTGTCTTGTTCGTATTTAGTACTGCTTAGTTATTGCTCACCTTGTTTTCACCAAATAATTCTAGGCTAGGTGATTAAAGCATCGATTTGTGAATTTGGTGATTTAGTAATTACAAGTTCAATCCCTGGACCAAAGAGTACAGTCTACAACTTGACTGGTGGGGTGATGGCAACCAATAAATGAGCTGTATTAAAAAAAGAAGAGTTATCCCTCGATAGGGTCAAGAACAGTCTACGATCCCCTGGGGCTTATGACCACATCATATTGAAACACCAGATCCGATATGATCACCAAAGTTGAACAACATCAAGCCCAGTCAGTACCTAGATGGGTGACCACTTGGGAATACCAGGTGCTGTAAGCTTGGATGTGTGGGTGGTGTAATGAATAATGGCTCTGAATTGTTAATCAGAGCGCCAAATTTCAATTACAATGGGGTTTGTTATATTCACTTACATGCAAATACCATTGAATCCATCTCTTTCCCCCATCTATGGGTTAATTAGTAAAACTTGTATCACTAAACCATTATTACCTCCAAAAAAAAATAAAAAATAAAATTGCATACAAAATATTTAGATTCTGGCATTAAATAACCCATTGAGGTTGATATGCCATTAAACAACCAACCAATCATTGAAGAATTTAGAGAAGACATATTAAATATAAGCCTGGATTTAAAGTTGAAAGAATGAATGCACTGATTAAATAAAAACAAAATTCCCTACTATCCATTCCTACAGACCTTTATAGAATAATGTAGCTATTGTTACTGAATAGTTACTCTTTTTAAAAAAAATGTTAGTTCTTTAAAAACTAAGCTTTTAGATAGATAATTAAATGCATTAAACATTTCTGATGAATCACATTTTCTGGTAAATCACTTTATTCATACAATATCATTATTCACTCATTGTTTTTTTTATCATTATAGCTTGTATTACATAAAGATATCAAATACACACTTCACTAATTATCATCATCCATAAACCGAAAATTGCTAATAATTTTGCTTGCTTTGTTAATTTGCTGGTATTTGAGGTAAAGAACATTTTACACCCCAGGCAAATTTGATAAATGTTTTCTTTTTATGAAATTATGTGACAGTCTTCTTTTATGGGAACCTATTTTAAATACTGTCTTAAAAATAAAAAAAATAGTTATTTTTTAATGCAACTGAGACGCTAAAAAGATCCTAATTCTGCAAAACTGTATCTACCTTCATTCAGACAGTAATGAATAAAACTGTTTATAGATCTTTGCTCTGTTTCGTACTTTCATTAACCCCTTTAGGGCCAGCTTATGGCATTATCATATTGAAACACCAGTTTCCGTACTATCACCGAAGTTAAGCAACATCGAGCCTGCTCAGTAATTAGATGGGTTACTGTTTAGGAATACCAGGTGCTGTAAGCTTGGTGTACTGGATAATGGCTCAGAATTGTTAATCAGAGAGCTAAGTTTCCATTCCCGTTGGGTTCATTATGTTCACATGTGTAAATACCGTTGGGAAAGGTATGAATCTATCTCTTTTCCCTCCAGCTATGGATAAATTAGTAAAAATTGTATTACTAAACCATTATTATCTCCAAAAAAAAATTTTTAAATTCTTACAATCTAACAAAAAATATTTTCTGGCTTTAAATAACCTGCAAAAGGTTGATAATCTGTAAAAAATGAATCAATGAAAAAAAAAAAAAAAGAAACACCCAAATGCACCTGCAAGTTTCCCCCCTGCTTACTGCCCAAGAAGCACCTGAATATACCCACAATCAAATAGCACTGTATTTCAATACTGACATTACCATTCATCCTGTGATCAATTAGAGATGCTGGAAATCTATAATGTTCTAGATTTCCAAAAGCATATCTATTAACCAGTAATATTTACCAAGTTAAATTTGGTATCATTTGAAAGAGAAATCAGTTTACATCCATAAAAAAAAGAATGTGTAAGACTTGACTTTCAACAGCTTTTGAGATATATCAATTTAATTGCACATTATCGAATGGACCCTAAATTTTCACCTATCACAATGATCCGGTGTTCTCTCAGAGAAGCCATTGTTTTGAGTGCTTATTGAGACTGAAGCTCAACCCGAAACCTCATTCCGAACTCATACATATGATCCATTGCTAAAGATGATGGAAAAATGGTCAGTTCCCTGTATCGCTCCAGTAAGTACCCAACTCTTCCTGCTATTCTCTACAGATCAGACCAAAAGTGGAGTACTGCTATCATATATGGGAAGGAGCTACCCAATCTTCACTTTCCACTCTCTATAGAGCCCAAAAGCATACCTGCATCCTTGTAGGTGATGAATTATTTTCCCCTCAAATACAAATCCTTTCTCACAAATGAAATGTTGCAAGCTTTTTACTACTCTCTTGCTATTTCCATGGAAAGTGTTCAAACTACATTCCTTAGTGCCATCATTTCTAACCCTCATGGCTAAGACACACCATGCCATCCACATTATAGAAAACAACCCTCATTCCCTTCATATTCCATTGTTACGGTGTAAGTTCCACTTGAACAGCTTCTCCCTACAAACAGATGCTTTGTGGAACCAACTCCCAGATTCCCCAGTCACTACAGTCTTAACCTGCTCAAGTCCAGAGTTAACTGTTATCTTCCCAACATATCCCCCTAAACTGTGTCTCTTACTCTGTAACCCTCTACCTCGAATGGCTCTTGGGCCTTGTACAGGGTGAATATCATTGTAAAAAAATATATCATCATGTATTTAAATTTTTCAACTGTTCTGTTAGGACTCCAGCGATTTATCAATTGAAATATTTTAACCTTTACCACTCTGTATGTGACTGACTTCCTTTGCTGTAAAAAAAAATAAATAAATAAATAAATAAAATTAAATTAAATTAAATAAGTTTATCCTGCCACTGAAGATGACTCTGATCCCTGAATTTAAATTTATTTGAATTTCATAATTGTGTTTTCATATCCTGCTATGGCAACAGAAAATAACTTTGAGTGAAATTAAGAATAAGGATACTGCAATGGCCTTGAAAAAGAATGAAGTGTAAAGGGAAGTAATATTAATAATGCAGAGTGCTAAAGATTAAGGGCTGACAATTAAACATCTGCCTATATCTTCACAATGATTTTATTGTGTTCTGAAAATTGGTCATTGTAGTAATTAAAAATATCAAGGAATGTCTCTGGTTTAAATGCAATAAGGAAGTTGTCTTGAAATAAACCAAATTGACAAGATTGGTAATGGTAACTAGCACCCTGAAGCTGTACAAACTCTTTCTTTGCTTAAAATTGTTTATAGCTTCAGTCTAATAAATAGAAAATAAAAATACATTTCAACGTTTAATTAGCTTGAATCCAAATTCTTGCACAAAAAATAAGCAATGCCAGTATTGTTCAAAATCTTTAGTGGCTTATAAAAAAAAAGATTGTGTAGAAGCATCCAATTTTATTTAACAGAGAAATAGATCAAAAAGCTTAAATAAACTGACATTTAAATTTAAAAAATTGAACTAAACAATTTTAAAAAAGCAGAATATTCTTATTAAAAAATTACTTTACACATAATAAATCAACAGGTATATCTATAATAGACTATTTTATATATATATGTCTATAATATTCTATATTATTTATCATATTGTATAGATATTTGGTAAGTGTTTCAGAGGAAAAGTTCATTTTATTGAGTAAAAGCCAAATTTCCAATCATCATGCACTTATCAATTAAAAATAAAATGTATTTAAAAAAAAGAATTTATTACCCAAACATCTCACTAACACCACGTAAATATGCTACTTTAAAATCGTATTTAGTGTTTTAAACTGTTTGGTAACATGAATATCTTACCATCAATCATTCTGTACAAAAGACAAGGAATCTACTTTTGTGATAACCATAAGATTATTATTTTTTGGAACTTTATAAGATGTGGTTAACATTAAAAGAAAAATTTTAAATCCATATCCTCTTTTCATTAGTTTAAACTGATGCTTTCTTTTTTTCACCTCCATATATCTCAACTATTATTATAAAAAATAAAATTTATTTAAAAAAAGAATTTATTACCCAAACATCTCTATAACACCATGTAAATATGCTAATTTGGGAAAGTTAAAATTTAATTGAAAATTGATGGAAATTTTTCCAGTTTTCATTTAAAATCAAGAAAATACAATCTTTAAGCAAAATGGTCAGATTGTACAGAAAATAAGGTGCTTCAGTTTAAACTTGATGCTACAAAGATATGGATTAAATAACCTGACTATAATAATCTAGTTTATTAACATGCATCTTCAATACAAAAAAAATAAAAATAAAAAATAAAATGTAACCTCTTGGCATCAGTTTAAACTGATGCTTTCTTTTTCATATATAAAAACTATTATTTTAAACTCTAATTTTGCAAAGTGAAAATTTCATTGAAATAAGTTGGAAAAATCTTCAAGTTTTCATTTGAAATCAAGAAAATATGAACCTTAAGCCAAATGGTCAGAATATAAAAAGAAAAAAAAAAAAATGGCAAGTGTCAGTTTAAACTGACACCAGAAGGAAGTGGATTTTTAGATTCTTTTATAAGCTATTACTGAAACTGCTTATTCATTCACAATCAGCTCTTTTGGAGCATTCAGACACTTTTGACCAAGACGCAATTAACATACAATAAACTCTGTGAGACTGTGAATAAAACAAACGAATAAAATAAATACTGCTACTGCATCAAGAATCCAGAAGGTTCTTTTTATCTTTTTAGCCTGCTGCTTATCTCTCAGCTTGTCTGCTCCATGCAGCAGTACATGAAATTTCAACAGGTGCGACCAAAGACAAAGTTTCTCTGGGAGTTGAGTTCACTATACAGCTCAAGCAGCAATCCGTTTGTATTACTTCTCTCTCTATACGTATTTTGTGCGTCTTTCTAAATTTTCAGTAACCTTAAACAACATAGTTTTCCCCCCACACCTTGTTTCTTAAAACAGAAAAAAAATATGTTTGATTTTTGTGATCAAGTTCAGTTAAAGCCTTAAAAAGAAAAACCCTGCTCTACTTGCTTGTATGCCTTTCTTGGCTTTGCATGACACTATGAGCTACATCTTCTTCTCCTTCTCCCTTTTCTGTAATCTGTGATTGGCTGTTTTGTTTCTTAAAAATAACAATAGCTTCTGATTGGTTTTCCAGTTATTTTTATTATGTATACATCTTCCATATTATTCTTATTATGAGAATAGTTAATCATTTGAATATTTAAAAAAAAAAAAAAAAAAAAAAAATTCACTCATTCCAAAGCTTATAGTGGTGTGGGACTTTGGGGTTAAAAAGAACAGTTGATTTACCCATTCCAAGAAGATTAATAAAGGATCATAATGACAAGGAAACACACAAGTAATTTTAACAAAACAAGATAAAGAATTTATTTACAAATTTACAGGCTTGAAATTATCAGTAGCTCATTTCAGGAAGTTAAATCAGAAATTTTTAAAACCCGTATTTTTAACGTATTGTCATGAAGGGGAAATGTTCATACAACAGATTAAATGATCTGCCACAAAAAAATATTCAAAAATGTTTAAAACAAAGGTAAGAGAGTTCGTAATTCACAGTAGGGATTTGCATACATTCAAAAGTAAATGAAGAGAGAGATAGTTTGAAATACTTAGCTTTCTTGGGTTGTTGAGAGAAAGTTCTTTGAAGTGCCATGTGCTTGGTTAAAAGGCCAATAATATAATTGGCAAGTAACTTGACACTGGAGAAAACTTCAGCACTAGATGCAGTGAACAGAAACAAAACCTTTCACATTACTTTTAGACACTCTTCTCTTTTATCAATTTTTCTCCTCATTTTATATCAAAAGAAATTTTGCATAGGCTCACTATTTTCTTTCTTTTTCTTGGCTCAACAGCCAATTTCTTTGAAAACAAGGTTTTCATTGGTCCAAAAGCAATATCACATAGGCTTGCAAATTTATTTCCGTTGTCTTCTCAGCTCTCCAGTCAATCTCTGTGAAGGCGAGATTTTCTTTGGTTCAAAGAAAATTTTATATAGGCTCATGAATTCCTTTTCATCTTTAAAGGGAGTTATTATTTTGCACTAACTAAAAGCTAAGCATTCACACATGATGGTTATGCCCATATAATGTTATTGACTCAAAATTTAGTCCTGTTTCGTTCTTCAGGACTTCATCAGACTAAAATTTGTTATGTTAGTAGGAGTATACATGCATACATCAGAAGGGTGCTGGGAATTTTAGATTTTTTTTTTTTTTTTTTATCAGCCAAATTCATTTAGAGTCTTCTTTTTTTTTAGTAGATATCCCACACTGTGATTTTAGTCCTACCAGGGATGGTGAAATGTTGTTAGAGCCAGGGCACAAATTTACTGTAAATGACCTTGTGATTGAAGCATTCTCTAGACATTTACATTGTAGTGAATTATTTTCTCCTTTGATCATGGTAGCATTTTTAATGTCAAAGTTGTAGTTAGTCTCATTACGGTGGGCAACCAACACATTTGATGTATTATTTTGTAAAATGTCTCTTTTGTGTTCATATAATCTTTTATTTAGATTCCTTGAGGTTTTTCCTATGTATTTTTTGTGGCAATTATTACAGGCAATGGAGTAAACTCCTCCTTCATTATTTTATCTTTTTATATAATTTTTATTGGTTAAGATGCACTGAAAATAACTTTTAACTTAAATCTGAAAAGGCTTAGGGTTATATAATGTTGAAACACCAGTTCCTGTACAATCACCAAAGTTAAGCAATGTCAATCCTGGTTGGTACTTAGATGGGTGACCACTTGAGAATATCAGGATGTATTGGATCTGCAGGTGGTGTAATTGATAACAGTTCAGAATTGGAAATCAGAGTTGAGTTCCAATTCCAGTCAGGTTTTTTTTTATATTCACTTATATACAAACATCCTTTGAAAAGGTATGAATCCCCCTCTTACCCTCCAGCTATGGGTTAATTAGTAGGACTTGTATCAGTACATTGTTATCTCCAAAAACATTCCTACCATCTAAAACTATGTTTTAGTTTTATCATCAATCTATATGGTGGAGTCTTTGACTACCTCATTGTTGCTCCATCACACTAGACCTTGATTCTCCCTTCTCATCAGCATTGAATTATAGTTCCAAACTGTCATCACACACTACTACCAGCACGCTCTAACTTGATTAACATTTGATCTCATGGAAAGCAGTACAAAGGTGGCCTCAGCCAAATGCCCCACAGTAGCATCTTAATTGTTCTTTGGTTCTGCTGAAGAATTCATCTGCCTGCCAAAGGGAGCAGTGCTGACCATACAGTTTGATGCAGACATTGCTCGGCAACTGCAACCCACCAGCTTGTTAACACTGGCTTCACCATATCCCTAACACGGGGAGCTTAGGGGTTACCAAGACTTGCTCAAAATGTCACTCCAAATTAGCAGAGGGAAGGAATCTGTTTATTTCTCCATTGGTGAGCTGCAATCAAAAGATCAGTCTCACCCCACTGCTCAAGGTTGAGAAGCTGTGAAAAACAAATCGGTAAATTACATTATACATTATTATTTCTCAGGCACATTGATTTTATTAATATATTAAAATTAAATTTTGATCAATTAATATTTGACATGGAGAAAGTAGAATTATATGATGACAACTTGAGTATTTCAATTACTGTATATACTTGAGCTTAGTGCAAGTTTTTACAATCAGTTTTTCGCACAAAATATAGGAAGTTATACTATAGATAGATAATTTTGACCAGTTGCACTATACACAGGTAAATATTTTCTGGTGGTGGTGGGGGGGAGGTGACACTATACATGAAGTCAACTTATACACAAGTATATATGACATGTATATTTATACCTGCCTGAAATGAATGTCAAGAAGATATATTCTGATTTAATAGTGAATAAGCTAATTTACCTCACATCAAAATGTTTCTTTATCTCAGCCATACCAATTCAGAGTACAAATCTAGCAATTTTTGAAAATGTTAAATAAGTACAATCCGATGTAAGGATTAACTTAATTATGTGTAAACCTTCACACAAAAATATTGCTGTTCAACTTTATTAGGGCTTACAGCCATATCAAATTGAATCATCAATTTCCATATGATCACTGAAGTTAAATGACATTGAGCCTGGTCAGTACCTAGATGGGTGACCGTTTGGGAATACCAGGTGTTGTAAGCTTGGATGCGCGGATGGTGTAATGGATAATGGCTAGGAATTGTTAATCGGTGATTAAGTTAAGCAATGCCGGGCCTGGTCAGTACCTAGATGGGTGACCGCTTGGAAATACCAGGTGTTGTAAGCTTGGATGTGCGGATGGTGTAATGGATAATGGCTAGGAATTGTTAATCGGTGATTAAGTTAAGCAACGCCGGGCCTGGTCAGTACCTAGATGGGTGACCGTTTGGGAATACCAGGTGCTGTAAGTTTGGATGTGCAGCTGATATAATGGATAATGGCTTGGAATTGTTAATCAGAAACCCAAGTTCCAATCTCAGTTGGGTTCATTACATTCACTTATGTGCAAATACTCTTGAGAAAGGTACAAATCCACCTATTCTCCCTCTAGCTATGGGTTAATCAGTAAGACTTGTATTACTAAACCATTATTATCTCCCCCACAAAATTTCTTACAATCTAAAAAATATTTTCTGGCTTTAAATAACTTAAAAAACAAAAAAAGTTGATAAGCTGTGGGAAATGAATTGATCAACTTCATTAAAGAACACTTACAGTAAAAAGACCAAGTTGTCTGAAAATAATTCTATTTCTAATTTTCCGTCTTGGGTATGACGATAAACTACATCTATACCTCCTGGGTAAGACGATAAACTACGTCCAACAGCAAGGCCTCTGATCAAGAGGCTTTGAGGAGCATGGAACCCCCCTCTTAATTGCTGATGTTCCCAGGTCCACCCTGACCCAGGGTGGTAGCACCTGTTAGGGTCACAGCTATGGGAAAATAATTAACCCCGAAACTGAGGTAAAAAACATTATAAAAGTGTAAAAATAGGTTTTAATACCAGAAATACTTTATAAAAAATTATTACCAGAAATAAATTTTTGAAGAAAAGAAAATATTACCAGCTATACATTTTTGAGGAAAAAATTATCAACAGAAATAGATTTTTGACAAAACAAAAATATTACCAGGAAAAAAAAAAAGTTGTCGGCATTAAATGGCCCATTGAAGTTGATATGCCATAAAACAAAACAAACCAAACCCATTTCTAATTTTAGCACATTTTAATAAAAAAGACTTAAAGAATGTAATATTTCTCTCCAATGTAGGTAAAAACACAAATATAAATCTGTCCTTTTTTTTTAGAAATATACATCTTTGTCTACACTCTTTACCCTTAATTACAAAACTGCAAAAACTCATATGAGTTATTACTCAATTACTTATTCAAGTAATTAACAAAAATTATTAAAAATTAAATTTAAATTACTGTTACTAAAAATAAATCTTTAATTAATCAGCAGATTAGATATAATATCTAATATACCTATTTAACATTTTGAGGTGTAGCACTTATAGCCCTTTGAAAATCACAATAAATTATAATAAAAAAAAAAGCATTACTCAAAGTAGGAAATTTTCTCTGAACAATTCAGTGTTAATATTTCAAAGGGGTTTATGGCTATTATTTGAAATTCTGTAAAACTAAAAGTTGTTTTTAGCATTCATTCACATTTTAAGTTATATTTAAACATTAGAAAAAAGAGAATGCATATATCCAATTTAATGTTTGGGTTTTATTAGAATTCTAAAAATAACTTTTTAAAGCAATAAAAATTGCAAAAACAGTATCAAGAGAAAAAACATTCTTTTTGACACACCATTTTTTTTTTTTTTTTCTTTTTTTTTTGGCATGTACATATGTTAAACTTTGCCAATTTTTCATTTAATTTTTTCTTTCCCTTTTTTATACATTAGTTATTATCGAAATTATGAATTTTTTTGTTATTATTCATTTGCTTATTGATCATATAGCGGAAGAGGAAGATCTTTGCTTATTTAGGTTACTTACAAAATTGTAATGAAATTGTCACAGGTCTAAAAATAGCAGTTATGTTATCTCAAAAATATTCTGTGTATTACTCTCTTGATAATTCCTCTACTTGTTGAGCATATTTTAGAGAAAGCTATTTTTAGATCTTTTTTTTTTTTTTTTTTTTGTGTCTTTGCATTAAATCTTATGAACTTGCACCAAATACAACATAATTGATCCAGGATTGTTTTTAAGTTCAGCTGGAGATGAAAATAATTTCAACATGGCTTGCTTTAATTTTTTTATCTCCCTTTCTTGCTGTTTTCAATATTTTAAACTGCATGCTTGAATGCAAAATGTATATATTCAAGAGAAGAATACTTAATTTTTGCCCATGGTTGTAATTAGATAGATCCACCATCATTATCAGTTCATATTGAATTTCTCATTGTATAATATGTATTAATCCTTTAACGATCTGCATTATTCATTCGCATCACTTCCTCTTCTCCAGTATATAACAAATCGTCAAATACAATAACCTAGATCTCAGTCTCATTCAAGGTCATTTTTGCTGTTGCCATAGGAGGATATGACAATACCACTGCAAAATTAAAACTCAATATCACAGTGATTTGAATGTTTTTAATGAACTAGGTTGCCTACAGAATGCTAAGTTTAATTTTCAATGTGATAATAGCAAAATTACGGTTTATTTTTGTTACATCTGTGAAAACATTATATTTAAAAAATTTCCACTGTTAGACCCCAGGGATCTATCTAACCCAGTGGTGCCTAAACTTTTACTTTCTGCCCCATCTCAACAGCTAAAAAATGGAAATAGCTGAATATATCTGGAGATATTTTTAGAATTAATGAGTTAAGTTAATGCAACTCCGTTTTAGCCATTGAGACATATATATATATATATATATATATATATATATATATATAATTCAAAATTACTCTACAAAATATTCAAATTGCACCTCATATTCAGAATCTCTGGTTTAAGGATCTGTTACAAAAAATTGAAAAAACAATCAGTTTCAATAATTTATTTGGGTATAATGTAACAAATATCTGTACATTAAATGGGGTAGGTGAGCTGAGTTCAAATTCCAGGCTAGCCTGTTGCATTCACTTTCACACAAATTCCTTCAAAGACATGAATCCTTATTTTTACTCCATCCAAGTTATAGGTTAAATAGCTGGGAAGACTGGGCTCTTTAGCCTTGGTTGGCAATGAGTCTAAAAGGAGAAAAAGTCTGAATTCCAAACTGTGGAGAAATCACTCAATCTTTCACAAGAATGTATCGCAATTCACAGATTTAAAAAAAAAAAAAACTGAAGAGTGATCACCTGAAGGAACATGGCATTAAAAAAGAAAAAAAAGTTAAAATGTAGAGGATTATGTTTTATCTAAACTCTATACACACAATTGGATGTTTAAATGAGAACTACTCTCACTGTCATATGGGTACGTGGCCGAGTAGCTAGAATGTTTGCTTTCTGACCATGATACCTTAGTTCAAATCTCGCCATAGGCAATTTGTCAGAAAGGAGACTTCCTGATGTTATCAGACTGGAGGGATCAATCCCAGTATGCAGCATCTTTTGAAAGTGACCCAAGCCTTGTGAGTGTAATTGGGTAGACAGTACCCCCAGCGGGGCGTCGACAGCTGTGCCAGCACAGTCACAAGTCATCATGACTGAGGGTTTGAGCATGCTACCCATGTTCAGATTGTTGATCACGCTAGATAACATAGTATTTCCCAGAAACTGTAACTAAGGTCTGCTCAGCATAGTTGCAGTATAAGCCACTGGTGTGTTCTATGGGTATTGAACAGACACAGATGTGCCTGAGCAAGCATCTGCAATAAGGATTGACTAGCTGCCCTAGTAGACGGGTATCCTCGAATACAAGTGGCCAACTATACTCTCACTCTCACTGTCATGTCACTTTCTGTCTCTTCTGTTCACCTGCGGGCCAGAATTATACAGGTGGGCAATAGTTGTGATCATCAAATTGAAGTCGTCAAGTTGAATATTATGAGGGATGCATAGCATATGGCAGGTATTATGAGTCAAATAACCAGAACAGTGTTTCTTTTTGGGTTTTTTTAATTACAGTACTAAGAAGGTACTTTTATGGGGGAACAAGTTGTCTGGACCTTACCAAGAACAGTTTATTGCAACCTTCACCACATGTATGACATGTATGACATGTAGCCCATTATCAGCTATGGGCAAATAGTTACCCAGACTTTTGTAAAAATAGGTTTTAATACCAGAAATACTTTGTAAAAAAAAAAAATAAATAAATACCAGTGATACAAACAGCTTTACATTTTAAAAAAAAAAAAAAATTACCAGCTATAGATTTCTTGAAGAAAAATTATTCTCAGAAATAGATTTTTGAAAAAAAAATATATTACCAGCAATAAAAAAATTTTTTGTCGGCATTAAATAACCCTTTGAGGTTGATATGCCATAAAACAAGTAAACAAACATTTATGACAATGGAAAGAGCATGTAACATACAGACCTTAGAAAATATTCAGTAACTATAATTTAGTTTTGTAGAATTCTTCAAAGCATCAGTGAAAATAGTCCTTCTGTTCAGCTCCAGTGCATGGACTTTAACAAAGACATTAAACAAAAAACTTGTATCAAGATGTTAAGTGTGGTAAAAAAAAAAAATGCCAGTTGGTAGCAACATACGACTAACCAAAAGCTTTATGGTAACTTGCCAAAGCTGATAACTACAGTTTTTAAAAGGAGAGTAGAATTCAGTTGGACATTGCTTGAAAAGCAAAGAATTAACTCATTCACAAAGTCCGATTTGGTGATCTTGTGGAAGACCAGAACCTACTTTCACTGGCCAATTGATTTGAAGATAACAATTTATTGAAGGAACTGCTGCAAATGGTAATTGAGGACCATAATATATGTACAAAAATTGGTCATGGATTTCCAATTGTGGTTGCTCCTACAATGAGGATAATTCAATTCTACTTTCTCTATCTCTTATAAGAAGTAAACCATTACCAATTTTACAAGTCTAATTTTTAGACAATTCATCCCCAGTAAGGCAATAATGCCACTAAGACGCAAGGCACTAGAATGGAAAGAGAATGAAAAGTTTTTTGGAAGAAACTAGAAACAAAATCCAAAACAAGAG